GTGATACCTATGCTACCACCACCAAGCTAAAAAGAAATTAATATATTGCTGTATTTGTTTCAGTTCTCTCACTTGTTGGGGGGAAAAAAAGATAAAACAAAATTCCCATATCCTATTTCTTCCTATTTCTTTGCTCTCTAGAAGTATCCATTATCTTAAGGTTACTGTTTATCCTGACCACACCAGTTTATTGTACACAAGTAATTATGTACCTACAAAGACTATGTAATATTGCTTAGTGTGTGTTTAAAGGTACATAAATTGTATTACACTGTGTATATCCTTTGGCATTTAAGTTTTCATTCAACATGGTTTTTTGAGATATATCCATATTAGCATCTCTCCAATCTATATAGAGGTTTATATCTAGTTCATTAATTTTAAACTCCCTTATACTATTTCATTAGGAATAAACCACAGTTCATTGATTTACCTTATCTATGGATACTTAGTTTATTTACCGTTTTAAAAGCAGAGGCGCAATAAATACCTGTTTGTGTGTCTTCCTGCCACCATATGTAAGAGTTTCTCTAGGTTGGGGAGACACTCAGACATGGTTTTTTTGGATATCCTTACCTTCTTCTGTCCTAGATATTTCCAATTTTTTCCAAAGTAGTTACACCAATTTACTCTCGCCAGCAATATTAAAAGCATTCCCCATTCTCCGTACTTTCATCAATACTTGACAACATGAGAACTTATTAATTGCACCAAAATGAAGCTTGTGGAGTGGTAACTAATAATTATGCTTAGATGGCATTTTCCTAAGGTCTCTTCTGGTCGTATTATCGTGGTCACCACATCAACACCAAGTCTTATCAAAATAACAAAATAAAGGATGTGGAAAAAACCTTCTATGGTTTATATTGAATTTACTTTTCCTCAAGAAATGTCTTTCATGGCTAATGCTGGCCCATGAACCCATAAATCAGTCCATTAAAGAGGAATGGGGACATGGCCTAGCTCTGTATTTATTTTCTTGTACTCATAATCCAATGTTACTTAAAAAGCAAACTTGCCCAGTATTCAAGCCAAAGCAAATACTCTGGATTTTGCCAGGCAAAATGCCTGTGGAGAAATGAGTCAATTCATACAAAATTCAAAGCTGTCTTTGGTCAGTGACATTTTCGTGAAAATCTGTGGGTGGGTAAAAGTTTTGCAAAATTCCTTTTTGCTATTGGATAAAATTCATCCAGGAAAAATAAGCAAAATTTAAGTGGCGACCCACATTCCCCTTAATTCCCTTATTAACACTCCCTAACCTCCCAGCACAACTGCTTTCTATTGTGCACAAAGGAAGCCATCAGTGTTCCAAACCCTGGCAACAGGATCCTGTCCCTCTACTTACTCTGCTCCCATCAGATAGGCTTTCTCCCGAGGCATACTAGCCAAGTGAGCAAGCTTCAGCTCATTCAAGTCATACCTTCCTGGGAATGCTACCCAGGCACTGCACACTCTTCAACTTAATAGCAAAAAGACCTACAGTAAAAACATGCTCAGCATACACTCTGTTGGAACCATTACTATGAACCATTACTATGGATACTGTTAGAGATGGTTAGTGTACATCTATAGTTTTGGGTTACACTTTTAGGAATCTGAAATTTAGGGGTTGAGGAAAGAAATTCAGACTCAGAGACTTGTTCTTACTTGGGAATTAGAAACCCTATCATCTCAGAAAAACGTAACAAAATTTAGCACAATTATACCCAGAAATGCTCAAAAGTTCTGTTAATTCTAAGATTCATCAGTGTTGGGGTTTGTCTAAATTCAGGAAGGTTTAAATAGAATGATTTTGCACCTAGGAATTACCTGAGTTAGTAAACAGCAGTGAATGGACTCAGATATTTTTAAGATAATATTGTCATATCTCAGTTTCTGATTTAACTGAGTTCTGCCTGTTTGCCTAAGAAGGCCTTTACTTCTCAAGGCCTTGGACATTGGCTGGGTTTATCTCTGTAATCCAGGCCAGGCCTGGAAAGAAAGCACCTGGTTTGACTTTCCATAGAAGCAATAGGATGAGATATATAGAAGGGTGGAGTTTCTTGGATGGGAAAGAGAAAAGAAACAATTTCTTCTTCCACTAAGTTAACCGAATAATACATTAACGACCCTACCCCAGTTCTGCCACCTAGAACCTTAAGTAGTCGGAATCCCAGAGTTCTGAGTTACAATCAGGGATTCTGAGAATGCATCTCCCGTGCATGACATGGAATTTGGCGTCGAAGGAGGATACCAGTGGCAGCCTCTGACTGTAAGCAAGCTGTCACTGAGTAGCCCTTTCACACACTCTCGTCTACCATGACTCCAGATACTCACTGTGCTGCTTATAGCCATGCTCACCTACACAATTGGGTCACTACCTCTTTCTAGGGTCAATAAGTGAGTGAAAATGATGACTAACTTTAACTATGATCCACAGAAAATTAATCACAGTTAAACATACATGAACCAATTTAAAGTGCTCCTAGCTTTTGCAGCATGTGACATAGCCACAAAAACCCAAAGATCACTGCATGTCTCCAAAAGGGGAATGTGGTCATTTTCCTTGGCAAGGATCTTGAGCTTTGAATCAACTACCATCAGATTTCAAAGCAGTAGGAGATGAAACATTTTGGTTTTAACAGTTCTTTGTGTCTGGATTCTAAGAGTGTAACAACTGGTTTTACCAAAAGCAGACAAATGCATCTTTTTCAGATGTGCATTCACATTAAGCACAATGTCTTCTATCAATAGACTACAACTTGAGAAGACTGCTAAATTTTCACAGAAAATTATTTGTTGCCAGTTAGCTTTGGCCTTACAAATCAGGCAAATGACATGTAGCAACATAACAGTTTTCAGAAGACATAATGTTCATGATATATATGTGTTATATGAAAATGGATGTCTTCCTGCTAAAAATACATAGTCCCAAGACTAGAACTGCAGTGTAAGTCAGCTCCTAAGAAATCCTGTTTTGTATAAATACATTTTCACTATAACATGTGTAAGTAAATGCTTTGTGGTTCTAAATTTGATATGGAATAAATCCCACAATCTGAATTTTGCAAAGATTCCATTTAGAAGTGGGAAGTGGGCAGCTTAGGGGAGAGAGAAATCACTTCCCATACCCATCCTGGACAATACAATGGAAAGCTTTGCAAAGGCATACAAACATCCACCTCTTATTCTTCCACTTAAGTATTTCTATTTTTAATAGTCATCATGCACTTTAGCAAAAGTCAACTTGTTATATGCCTTTGCAGAGTTAAGAACAGTGGGAAAATGGGGAGTCCTACTGCACAAAAATTAATTTTGCAATGCAAAAAACATTTTTTGGATAATTTAAGCCTTTATGTGTTTTTGGTGTGTTGTTGTTGTTGTGTTGTTGTTTTCAGTAAAACCAAATCCAGCACACTATTTTCAGCCAGAATTAGTCATAACTAAAAGTTTGGACTGCTTTCGTTCGGAGACTAAATGTCTTTCCTGCTTGCAATAGGCCTCTGTGTTCCAAGCAGAGTAAATGGAATTGCCTTCAATTGCTTGTCTCTTTCTGGCATTTTTAATGCAGAACCCTACTGAAAGAGTAGCATTTTGCCACCTGGAATGTAATTATTCTTTTCACTCCTATAACCTGGCAGTCTCACCATGTATCAGCTTCAGGTTTTCCTTAAGAAAAATCACAACATGGGGCATAATGTAACAATGAAAAATGCAATTTCATTCTGCCAGAAATTCTTAAAACTCTTTCAAAAATACTGAATGGCGAAAAAGTGTACCTAATACTTGCATGATAGCTATCATCTGCTTGGTTTGCTTTTACATGAATGGGACAACTTGACCAATCTATAATCAACATACACATGGTCCAGATGATTTATCATCAGGATATACTACAGAAAGAAGGAATTCTGTCTAGGGGATCCTGGTCTAACTAAGTTCCTTTTCAAAATGATTTCTATATTTCACACATTTAGTGACCTGTAGCATATTCAATATCCAGGGAGTACCTACGATTCTCAGATTTAGCTCTAAAAGAAATAATCCTGTCCATCTAAACTAATATAAAACGCATGCTCTTTTTTCCAAGAGTTAAGTGAGCTGTCTGAGATTGTGCAAAACTGTCTGTGATCCCAAGGGTGATGTCCTGCTTATAAACACGGAGGGTTTCTGTGAGGTGTGAGATGATTGTGAAATCATTTCAGAGCCATATTATTAAAAAAAAAAGAGTCAATTTTGCCAAGAAACAGAGATAGTTCCAGGACTGATGTTATGAAAGGGGGAGGCAGAGGAAAAAAGAGACACCATGCTCACTTCCTTCAATGCCAAAGGGACATTTCCCTCTTGGTTCTTTCTCCCATACTACTTTACAAAATGCTCTCTCCTCAAAGTTCAGTGAGATTCTATGAGATTCTGGCCCTGTGGCATCCCCTGGGTGTTTTATGCCAGCTATAAATCATTAACTAGCCTCACAACCCTGGAGTGTGCAGTGTGGAGGCAGGCAAGAGGGTTCACACAGGCAAGAGGTGTTTACTAGCCAAGTGGCTAAATGTGAGTTCCTTTCAAATATCAGAACCAGCCCCCCTCCCCGACCCCATTACTAGCCCGGTCATTAGAGAGAAAGAAAAAATCACAAAATATTTGCTTTGAAAAAGACATAAAGCTTACTGGGGGTGCAGTGTGTGTTCCTCTGCCCTGCACATTTCAGCAACTTCACGTTGGTGCCTGGCAGGCATCTACTTTCCAACATTTTGGATGTTGTGGCAGATCAATGTCCCCTGACATGGTAGATCATTTACATTTGCAGAATAGAATCAAGAAGCGAAGGGATACCCAGCAGCTAATAATTAAAGAAACGTTCCCCTTCCTCACACTGAAGAGGAGTCAAATCTCATGGATACCTAGACCCCCATGCACCATCCAAATCTCATAAAGAGAAAATGTCCCCTGACTTGTGGGCCAACTGTGGAAAAACACATGCACTTTCCAGGGGCGCCCAGGAGCTTTGGAAAACTCACCGTGCACTTGTTGGGCTTCTCTCCGGAGTGGACTCGCATGTGGATCAGCAGTTTGTAGCGGGCATTGAATGGCTTGTACCTCCGAGGACACCCTGCCCAGAAGCAGGTGAAGTCTTCCCCTTTGCGCTGGTCTATGTGCACCTTCTCAATGTGCCGCACAAGTTCCTCCTGCTGGTCATACAAGGCGCTGCAGTCGATCCAGCGACAGCAGTGCTTGCCCCCCATGTCGTCCATGTCCCCATCCTCCTCCAGGGCCAGTGTCTGGGCATGGGGCACCAGCTCCTGGTGGTGCAGGTGCGGGTGGGCGTGGTAGGGGGGAGGGGGGCCTTGGGGCTGGGGTGGCAGAGGAGGCAGAGGAGACGCGGAGGGCAGGTCTAGAGCCCCTCCCGGGAAGTCATCCAGTCGTTCCGTCTTCAGCAGGCCGGCTGGCTGGCCCTCGGGCCCGGGCAGGCCATGCTGCACCACCATGTTGTTGACCAGGGGCTGGAGGCCTCCATGCTCCAGCTGCTGCATGCGCTCATACTCCAGCGCGCAGTCATCCTCGTAAGCCGGGAGCACCAGGCCGCTGCCGGCCACCCGCACACCCTTCTGGCTGTTGGGCACTGCACATGGCTGGGGGATGCAGCTCCCGCGCACCCCCAGGAAATGCCCATAGACCTCGGGCTGCGGCGACATGTTGGCCGGGGAAGCCCTGGACCCATTGATGTAGGCGACCAAGGACGTGGGAGAGGTGCGAATGATGGTATTGAAGTCTATGCCAATGCCATCGGACAGCGGGGACAGGGACAGGGCTCTCTTCTTGGAGCGGGCCGAATGTGACCTGGCTGAAGAGTGGCGGGGACTAGAGTAAGGAGAGTGGCTATTTTCCATGCCAAAAAGGTAGGCTGGCAAAGAGTTAGAGACACTGTTGCTGGACATGGCTGTCCCCGGAGGAAGGCTAAAGAGATCACCTAGGTCAGTGCCATTCTGAGAGCTGTGGTTGGCAGAGAGCGAAGGGAGAGCCCTGTAGCCTTGAGTCCACTCTTGTTTCACACTCAACGCTGACTGACTTTCCGTCAGACTCAAAGTCGTGGATGCCAAAGATTCACGTGAAATAAGGGACCTAGAACAGCAGCCAGAAGGGGGGGAAAAAAAGACAAACATTTTAGCAGGATATAAATTGCTTAAGAGCTAAAAGAACATTGACAATCCCTTAAGTAGTTCCCCTAATTACATTCCCGGCTAAACACACATTCTTTGGCTAAGATAACACCAAGGCTTTTAGTTCCAGGTAAATAACATTTTACCAAGAACAATAAAGGCTAATGCTCACCGGACTAATAAAACAAAAGATTGATTGTTATACGTAATCTTAATACTTTAATGATAATAAATAGTCCTTGCTTTATTTTTTAAACATTTTTTAATGTACGGGAAAAATTCGAGACCTAGGAATGATTATTGATGCCTGTGTCACGGCAAACCAAATAAGCAAGTATTTATTAAGTACCTACTGTGTGCAACACACTACAAATAGGCACTGCAAGGAATACAAGTCCACACAAAGTCCCAGTCTTTGAGGAAGATCAATTTGGTGAGGTAAAACATAAACCCATGCTTGACTTGAAAAAAAGTAAATCCTGGAAGTCAAAATGTCATCCAGGATATATAATAATAATTTCTTCATTTTGCAACAATCCCTCTCCTGTTCTTCTTACCCTTTTTCAAAGCATGCCTCATGTAACAGTATTTACCTGCATATCAAAATGGTTTCTAATGTAGTCTGGCCACCTTAAAATTCATTTTGCTTTACTATGGCATCATTGCCTTAAAAAATCACTGAAGAGAAAAACCTTTGTCCCTTGGATGGAAAATTTGTTACAAAAGCTAGAAATAACTCACTGTATTTCTCAATCAGACATGATGAATATCAGAAAAACCTGGCTTACTTATATGTTCCTACATTGGATTTTAGAGATCTTTTTTCTGACAAAAAATTAATCAAAAACAAAATAATATATATATACATATATATATATATATCTTCCCATATACTGCTTCCAAAGGAACTGAGGGAAAAGAGAAGCATTCTCACCCCATCTGCTCTTCTTGCTCCTTTTTATAAAATGGAAACCAGGAACACTGCTTCCTATAAGCATGAGATATTAGCCAGAAAATATCTCAGCTCCGAAATGCACAGTATAAGGTGATAGATAACACCATTATGGATGTGATGTTTCCATCAGGTGAAGTAATGTTTACCAATGACAAACACAGCAGGAATGTACGTCCAGTTGCCCTTGACACAAATTTTTTTTCTTGGTCTACATCCTTATATTCGGGCTGAAGTCCTTTTGCAAGCCCCAAAGTGGTTTCTGAACCATCTGTTTCTGAATTCCCCATGGACACTTTCAATTATTTTCCCAGCACACCTGCAGCGTGCAGCTCTCCCTGCAGAACTCAGGTGAAGGTTCCTGGTGATTGAATGTCAAGGACCTTTTGGTCCCTTCCCCAGGGAGATTCAGGAATTGCTTTCTGACCCAAGAAAAATCAGTAGTTGTGTCATATATGAGGAAAAGACAACTGACTTTGCTTTATGCCCCAAGGTTGAGAGAGTTTACAGAACATTCTCAAATGCTGCATTTGCCTGGTCACTGTCACACTAACGCATTTCAGATTTTTAAGCAGCAAATAGCAGGCAGAAAGTATTTTATCCACTTGTATGTACTCTGTATATGTAATTATATTATTTGATGGAAGGGCAGCCTACACTGAGACATGTTTATTTGTTCCATTGTCCAGAGATATTTCATACTTTTCTCAAATGATACTTAAATGATACTTAACTACGACTCAATTTAAATCTGAGCATAGCCCCATGCAGGCATGTTCCTTAACTCCTCAAACATCAATTTCTAAGACAGTTACCATATACTTTTTTCAGAAAGCAACGTCTATATTCTATTCACTAAGGCAATAATATACATAAAGAATTCTCTCTTCTATCTCAACATGTAATAAGAATAAAATTTACAACAAATGGCCTTTACCTATTGGCCCTCATCCCTCCTGTACAATTACCCAGATCTTTTACCTTTCAGAGTTTTAACCCATAACCTCCCCCAAATACACTAGCTCTCAATCAGAGACCTCTTTCCAAAGATGTTATACACTGGCTGCCTGTACTGTGCCTTAAACATAGCTAACTTCCTCAATAAAATTCAAAGCCTTTCCACAGAAGGGATCATTTTCATCTCCCCCAGCACCCACCAGAGTGTTAAGATACATAAGTTTCCAAAAAATTTTTGATTAAGAAAGTAACTAGTCAGTAACTAAGTAAAATAACTTCTTCTTAGCCTGACCGGCATGGCTCCGAGATTGAGCATCGACCTATGAAGTAGGAGGTCACGGTTTGATTCCTAGTCAGAGCACATGCCTGGGTTACAGGCTGGATCCCCAGTATGGGGCATGCAGAAGGTGGCCAATCAATGATTCTCTCTCATCATTAATGTTTCTGTCTCTCTCTCCCTCTTCCTTCCTCTCTGAAATCAATAAAAATATATTTAAAAAATAAATAAAGTAACTTCTTCTTAAGGACCAAATTCGTTATAGAAGCCTGGCCAGTGGGTTACTCAGTGGTTAGAGAATCAGCCCTCATACCAAAGGGCTGCAGATTATATTCCAGTCCCCTGGTTGGGTTGAATGGTAAGCAACCAATCCATGAGTCTTTCTCACATATGTCTCTCTTTCTCCTACCCTCTCTCTTTTTCTCTCTCCCTCAGTCCTCCCTCCCTGCCACACTCTCTAAAGATCAATGGAAAAAATATCCTCTAATGAGGATTAAAAACAACAAAAAATTCCTTATAGAAGTACAAATGAAGCAGCATTTGATAGGCAATCACCTACCAGTTGGACCACATACATCCTCCATTGATTTCCCCACATCATATCCCACATGTGGTTCATAATGCTCTGCTTGATTAAAGGACCTGGTATAACAGGCTTAAAGTCACACAAGCTGTGACTGAAACCCACATTTTCTGTTCTCTTTCTGCAACAACATGCTGAATGACTGTGAAGGGTTCCAAAGGACTCTCTCTTATAGCCCCTGCTGCTACGCACACCAGGACTATGGGAAAGAAAGTGACAAAGAGCTGTGGTTCTGTCACCTTACTGAGAGCAATCTCCATTTCCATATGGTCATCTGATCCTTGGGATATTATTTTTGGTGACTGGTTAATTTGGAGCTTTATGTGAAAGAAAAGCAATATAGCTCAAACAAAATAAAACCAATATGAGAAATTCAGAAACTATCAGTGAAACAGGTTAGGATGGCTAGTGAAGCAAGAATTCAGTAACTCTCATGGGGCCATAAGAGGAGTGATGGCCAAAGTGAATGGCTTGGTTCAAGGCCAAGATCAAAAGAAATACTAACTTATAGATCATGTGCAATTCCTCAAACTGAGATAGAGAGAGAGAGAGACAAACTGAGAGAGAGAGAGAGAGAGAGAGAGAGAGAGATATCTCCCCTGAAAGAATTAGTACTGCATCTAAACACAGAATGGTTTTATAAAGTGTTAGAACTTACAGCCCAGACTCCATTCTCAGCCCCTTGGCCTCCTCTGAGCTTTGTGGACACAGTCCAACCCAAAAGGAAACTCAAGGAAATTCCATCCCCAGAAATCAGCTCAGTAAGTGCCGGTTTAGGAGAGAAAAATGGGTGCCTTTTTGGATCTGGAATGACATTATTAGATTGGTGGTTCAACTTTGTAACTGAAAAACTAGTGATACAAGACAAAGTCTTTAGACTTCCTGTGTTTTGGGTCCATTATCTATAAAACAGGGATAATACTTGCAGGAAGTTTATAAATATTCGATCACAAAATATAGGATCACAATAGACGTGAAAGCACTCGCAAAACTAAACATCTACAAAACCCAGGCAAGTAGCATGCAATCTCTTCTTCCCAACTTTTGCCAGATTTGAATATGAAGTGACTGTAATGAGGTTATTTATCAGTGCCTCAGCCTCAACACTTTAGGGAAAATATATACACGGTCTTCGTTTTGCAGAGTGTTGGCAATGCCTAAATCAAGAATGGCTCCTGGATCTTTAGGAGGGTAAGGTATAGTTTGCATTTCTCATTAAGTAGGGCTAGTCAGAAATGGTTGGGAAATTAATGAAGGCAAATATACAGCATTAGGGTATGATTCTCATCACTGGAGTACACAGAATCCAACAAAGCTAAGGAAGAGTGCTTTTCCCAGGATGAGGCACTCCAGAAAAAAATACTCAAAGGGGTCAAAAGAAGAAATACAGTCAGTAAATCTATACTATCTACTCAATGTTATCAGTAATTAAGAAATGCAAATTTTAAAAAATAAAATTTTGCACATCAAATTGGCAAAGTAATAAAAATAGTAATTCCTATATTTGATAAGATATGAGGAAGCAGGAACTCTCAAGACTATTGGTGAGTTTATAAACGGGTAAGGCTTTTCTGTGGTACGTTGAAGAATACACATCAAAATGCTCAAAACTATACATTTCCAGCAAATCTTATTTCTAAGAAATTATTCTAATAACCAGAAATAAGCAACAAAATACTATTTATAGGATTGAACAAGTACAGTGTTACTTAAAGTATTTAAGTAAAGGGAAAATAAATGCCCAGTAACAAGAGACTGATAAAAAATTATAGTTGTATTTATATGCTTTTTAAATAAAATGGAATCTTAGGTAGGAAGAAGCCATTATATGATGCTGAAGACTTTTGTTACAAAAGAAAGAGTTTATATTAACTAAACAGAGTAATTATAACACTACGTAGATTATTAGATCAATCTGATACAAAGAAAAACCTATGCTTATGTGTTTGCATATAATTAGAACAGTGGTTCTCAACCTTCCTAATGCCGCGACCCTTTAATACAGTTCCTCATGTTGTGGTGACCCCCAATTTCATTGTTACAAATTGAACATAATTAAAGCATAGTGATTAATCACAAAAACAATATGTAATTATATATGTGTTTTCCGATGGTCTTAGGCGACCCCTGTGAAAGGGTCCTTCGACCCCCAAAGGGGTCGCAACCCACAGGTTGAGAACCGCTGAATTAGAAGGTTGTATATTAAAATTCCACCCATGGTTGCCTGTGCATGGTCAGATGCAGGATGACTATCATTTATTGCCTTGTGCTTTTCCATATTTTCTATAATAAGTAAGAATTACATAGATAATCAAGAAAAACATTAAAATTTACAGCTGTCTATAGGGTAGTCATCATTCAAACTGAACAGTTCCTGCCTTCACTTCACAACACTCTCCTCTTGGATAAAACACAAAGCTGATTCTCTCTCCATCCTTATTTCTAGGCAGCAAACACCTTCAAGTTAAACTGTTGCTTCCTGTCCTTTCTCTCTTCTGAAAGAACACACAAACCAAGCATTACAAATGTGACCTTTTCAAATTGCTAAAAGTAAGTTTCATACTTCACCAAGCCCCTTTCCAACTCCTGTTTTTTGCCCATCCTGCAAAAAGAATTATTTCAATAGGAGGACTCACAGAATACATAGTCAAAAACCTAAGTCAGTGCATCTTTAAGATGTTGTCTTTTAAGGATATAAAATTATGCTAAGGAACCAAATATGGCAGAAAACACTGACATAATAACACTTCCCTGGTCAAGAGACTGCATTAGATAGATGGTCGCAGCAGCTTGTGCCAGGCCTACCCATCAGTTTCTCCATTAATTATGACTCTCTGCCTTCTAGGCATAGGCTGGACTTGCCACCGACAGGGAGCTGAAGGCTTCCCAATGACACCTACCCCACGAGTACAGTTAATTTTACATGCAACATTCAGCAAGTCTGAGGAGGCCCTCAAGGCATTAATCATCAATGGGGAAATGACAGCAGCAGCTTCCCCTCACAAAAAATCTCAGGTGAAAAACAAGTTTCCCTATCATGAAAAAAAATTGGCATAAAAAGTTATCCAGGAGCTATGATTTCTGAGTCTCAAACAGCAGGTAGGAGGAAAGTGCAAAGTTACAAGAAGGGGAAGGAGAGACAGAAGGAAAGGAAGGAGGAAGTAGAAGAAACAGGATCCCAGAACTGTAAGGCTTTTCAGTAGATTTCCAGCCTCCTCCTCCCCAAGAAGAGGAAGCACAGGTTCAGTCCAGGAGTCAAATCCCTTTGCAAAATCAGTTACAACAGAGCCAGGACTAAGAGGCAAAAACTTTGGATTGAGCTTCTCCAAAAATGCACTTCTAGAAGATAAAATAATTCATTTCAAACATAGAAATGAACCTTACACATTGCACAGCATTTTGTCTTCATGCCCCCTCTAATATCAACCTTAAGAGATATATTTGTCTGAGGGGTTCATTTACCTTTTCCTATTTAATTTCCTCCTATGGAGAGATAGCAGCATTTATTAGACCTACTTATTCTAGCACCTAATTGGACACTGTGGTGAAATGTTATGTAACTTATACCTGAAAGTATGCCGTCCCAGACACATCATAAAGTCTTGAAATTCATGATTTCAATCTTCATTTTTTTCTACTATCTTCCTAAACTTTAACTATTACTAGTATACTATGCAGACATAAGGTACTTGGGTAGATGGGTGGATAGGGGGATAGATTTATAGACAAAACAGTTACAAAGCAGCCTGGAGACACTGCAACATACGCACTGAAAATGAACAGGTAAGATGGATGCACATGAACATATCAATTTTCTAGGCCTTGACACATAACTTGCCTCACCAGGAAGTGACAAATTAATTCACTGGAGTTTAGTCAATGAGGGAGGCCCAACATCTCAAGTTGGACATTCATTTCACTCACACCACAAGACAGCAGGTGTTAAACCACCTAAACCATTCCTCCAAATTAAGATGACATGGCACATACTTAATTTTTATACACATTCCCCTAAAAAAGCTCAAATTAAAAGGGTGGCTTAAGCAAGTGAGCGTGTGTGTGTGTGTGTGTGTGTGTGTGTGTGTGTGTGTTCAAGAAAGGAAGGGAAAACACTCACAGGGTATGATTACACCATAAGAAGGGGGAAATAAAAGTAACATGAGACCTGGTATCTGAAGGAGGTATATTCAGGCTGGCTGCATTCATTGCCTTCTGTAAGCTAGGACTGATCTGGTTGCATGCTGTAGAGACCTGGCTTGCTGGAGGTGAAATGGGTCCCAGTCGCTGAACCATCATGGGGCTGCTGGTGACCACTAGATTGTTGCAGCTGCCTTTTCCAATGGACTTGCACTGAGGCCCAAAGCCAAGAACCCCTAAAAACAAACGAATCAGGTTAGCTTTCATGTCCCTTACATCAGAAATCAGTAAATACACACATGTGCACACTTCTATCAGGTCCCATCTTTAGAGACAGTCCTTGGATCTGTTTTTTAGGATTGGTATCACCAAAAAGCTTCCTCTAACTGCAATGAAAAAAACATAATGCTACAAGTCATCTAGAATCACCACATTCAAAACGTGCTTACATTTTGCTCCTTCTGTATACAAATGCCCACTTACATTATTTTATCATCTCCTTACCTAAAGGATACTCTTTGTAATAATTTAAGCAATAAAAAAAATTATTAAAAAAAAGTGATAAGTAGATGGATGGGCTTACTCATATCAAACCAAGTTTATTCTAGAATAGCTAATATTTTAACTGGCTTACTTCATTCCAATTCTGACCTTCCAAAAAGCCTCTTTAAAAGGAGAGAGTCTGGCTCTTGTCTCTCCATTCTTGATTTCTCCTCTTCATCCCACTACATTGTCATTGGACATATAGCCAATTTTTAAAAAATCAGGATGAGAGCCATAAACAAAACACTCATTATAATTAGGCATAGCTTTTTCTTTTTATTGTAACAATCTTTGAATGTAGTAAAATTTGGTTCATACCCAAAAGAGAAAGAAAAAAAAGAAACCCACAAAAATCTGTGTCCTTAGGGAGAAGGGAAAAGCAAAGAGGAGAAAGGCAAACACTGTCATGACTCACTTACAAAAAAATAAAAATGGTTGAATCATTCTAGACATTCTTTTTACATAGATGTACTTCTACAAACATTTTTTTTTTTGCAAACTACCTGGTCAAGTCTCAGTGACTGTACACTCTGTTCCCATTTCAAATGAACAAAAATAAGTATGACCTCAGTTTTTAACAGATCAGGCCCTAAATATTTCTCACCAAATTCACATGTTTCTCATTGATATAGTTGGGATCAAAGTAGGTGGAAAACACCACTGTAACCTTCCTTAGTCCTAGGGGATACAATTTCCTATTTTGTTTTCCCAAAAATTAAATCCATAGCCCCAAAGATGACAGTCATCTTTTGTAATATTCTCTTCATAGAGCCCACAAAACTCAAGGATAAGCAAGACCTTACAGCAATGGCTATGCTCTCATCAATGAAACCAGACCTTAAAAGTGCTGGGAGAGTCCCAGCATCTTCAACTGGAAGAAGCCTGCTGGAGTCCAGCCCTCTGAAAACTAAAATCCAAGTGGTCATTGACTTCCCCAAGGCCACACAAGGATTTTCTGACAGAGCAGAAACAGATTCCACTAGGGTATATTTTCATGGTACCTGGGTGGTTAGGTGTTGGATGCTTCATTAGCTCTAAATGAAAAATTCTCTCAATTTTTTTAAAGATACACAAAGCAGAACCTTCCCTCTACCTCTTTCACTGCAACTTATATCTGATGCATCTTCTAGTGCCTTGAAAGATAAGTTATGGATAGTCTGTTTCCATAACTCACATAACACTGTACCATCAGGATTTCATCTCCTTATTGAGAAAAATGGATATACTTTTATGCAATGACCATGAACTTAGTATCTTTATAAATTCCATAAAACTACATGCCATTTGCTTTTCAAATCTCTTTTTACCTCAGAAAAAAATGGCTATGGTCCATAGCCTAGTCCAGTATAAAAGACACTCAAATTATCTCCCCAGGTCCCATCCCTACCAGTCATGACTATTAAAAGCTACACCATATGTCAGGTATTCTGTCAAATTTAATGTCATATATTTATCTAAGCAACTCACTCATTTCATGCCTCCTTCCACCTCAGTAAAAAGGAATTAATATCTACCTCTAAAACAAAGACATATTAGCCGCTAGAACAGCACACCCAAGAAATACTACTTGGAGGCAAAGCATATTCACACATTCTTTCATCAAATCTGAGATGCTGTATATTGTAAGGCCCACCATCATTTTATGCACCAGTAAGAACATGCACTGTCAATTAAACTAGTGCATGGTGTTGCGATTTCAGAGATGTGCTGGTATGAAAATATGCGCACCTTAGAATGGGTAAATACCAATATGATGGCTGAGAAATGTCTAATCTTGTCTTGTTCATGGTCTTCTCTGCCTGGAACATCCTTACCCTAACTTGTCTACCTAGTGAGCACCTCTGCACCTTCACGGTCTCAATTCAAAGGTCACAACCTTCAGGGAACTGAGATGTTTACATGCCTGTCACCCCCTCCTCATCTATACTTTAATGCTCTTTCAAGGTAAAGCCCTTGTTTAAGGAATCTCTGCTTCCTCAGCACCTAGCCGAGGGCCTAAACTGACAGAACACAAACAATAACGTCGGTCAATGAAGTTAAAAAGAAATGAATAAATGAAAATAAAAGATAGTGATACACATGAATATTGAATACTGACAAATTATTTTCACAAAAACTTTCCTGGTTTTCTTTTTTAAAAGGCAGTGCCATTTTTCAAAAACAAGCTTCAATTAAGTCAGTCCTTTGACAGATTCCACAGCACTGCTAACTTCCCAGCGTCTCTGTGATATTTACTGTATTACCTCCTACTCCCAAATACACTGGTCAAGTTGAACCTCATCTAACCACAGAGGAGTGACTGTTTCTGAAAAGTGTCACATATGGCATCCTTGAAGCCTCAGGCTAAATGGTAAATGTCTTGGGAACAGGTAATGTTTGTGGCACAGCTGTGAGAATGTTCTGGAAAATAGTATCTGTCTCAAAAGTGTAGGCAAACAATCTGACCTGGGGTCACTGTGCTCAATCCAATAATTTTTTTCATAATTATAAACAAAATGAATACCTCCAGACTACTCAGAATTGGGCAGTATTTGAAGTGTGGGTTCACCAGCCTACCTGGGATCTGCCCACCCCACCCCCACCCCAGCTAGTTATGCGACTTGGGCACTTTACTTAAACATGCTTTATCTCCACGTCTGTGTCTTCTCATGTGTAAAATGGGAATAAAAATAATACCACCTCATAAGGTTGCTGTACATCTAGTATTAATTACACATGTAAAGGACTCCGCACATTGTCTAGCACACAGTAGGTTCTCAATGGGTATTAGCTGCTATTGTTATTATTGTTGTTGTTCATGACTGCCATGGCATTTTTGCTCCATTCTCTTTCTTGAAGTAAAACAGTTCTAACTCCTTGAATAAAACAAGATAGTAATGATTCTATTTATTTCTTTACCCATTGCCAATGTTCTATCTGCTTTCAGTCTGGAGCCAATTTTTTTTTTAAACCAGGTGTCACAGATAGAAAAAAAAAAACACATTTCAACTGGCCAAGTTTGAATGTTCCTTGGCTTGTCATTTGCTGAAAACAAATCATACAACTTTTCTGACTACCAGATGTGCCAACTACTTGTGCACTAGTTTTCATTTTGAAATACCACTTTTTCCGCTTTTTAGCAACTGCACACTGTTTTTTAAAAATGTGTTTATGACTCAAATAAGGATCTGAATGGATGGCATTCTGAGTACCACATACATTCTAGCCAAAATCACTGCATGCTGGTGGGGAGCATAAATGTTTTGTATTTTCCAGTTTCTAAATAAGAGGTCATCTTAGCAGAGGTATGTTTTTAATTAACATCTTCATTAGTTTAAAGAGTTCTGGTGAAGTCAAATAGTTGATTATGTCACAATTATCCTTGCTGAGGCCACATCCTTCAGAACTGTTTATGTTTAACCACTGATTCCTCTAAAAATGACATAGACATTGGGGAAACAGAAAGGACATAAAATGGGAGGAGGGTAGGAAGAAATAACCAAAATGTCTTGGTTGTTATAGTTCATTCGACTGACACTTATCAAATTCCAACCACAAGCCAGACAGTCCCTGGAGACGATGGTGAGCAAGATGGACAGTCTCAATCCCCACATATTCAGTATCCTGGTCATGAAGGCAAACACCAAATCAACCATCTATAATAATAAAAGGGTAATATGCTAATTAGACCAGACAGACGAATGACCTTCCAGACAGCATTCTGGATGTCCTTCTAGACAAAGCCCTAGCAGTGAGGCCGAGGCAAAAGCGGTCAGGGGCGATCAGGCAGGCAGGCGAGCAGTTAGGGGCAATGAGGCAGGCAGGGGAGTGGTTAGGAGCAACCAGGCAGGCAGAAGAGTGGTTAGGGGTGATCAGGCAGGTAGGCAGAGGTGATTAGGGGTGATCAGGCAGGCAGGTGAGCAGTTAGGGGTGATCAGGCAGGCAGGCGAGTGGTTAGGGGCGATCAGGCAGGCAGAGGGGTTAGGATGATGAGGCAGGCATGCAGAGTGGTTAGAGGCGATGAGGCAGGTATGAAGAGTGGTTAGGGGCGATCAGGCAGGCAGGCAGGCGAGCGGTTAGGAGCCAGTGGTCCCAGATTGTGAGAGGGTGCAGGCCAGGCTGAGGGACCCCCCACTCGGTGCATGTCATGCACCAGCCCTCTAGTTCATTATAAAAGAGGTGATCCCTGCTTCTAGTTTGGGTCATATAAAAGGCTTTCTCTATAGGTCAAACATGATTGAATGAGAGCAATTTCTATATGGTTCAGCCTAATATACAGAATCCTATATAATAAAAGGGTAATATGCAAATTGACCTTAAAAGCAATAGAACCAGAAGACTGCTGGACCAGTCACTATTGAGGTGCACTAACCACCTCTCGGTCCCTTTCCCCAGCTGGCAGGTTCTGATTGCCTGATGGCAAATGGGAAATGGAAGTGGGTGGCGGGAGATGGGCGGCACCAGGCCAAGGCCCCCACCCCGAAGGTCACCCCACACACAGAGGGCAACCCGCATTGGGGGCGTGGCCTGTGAGCGGGTGGGAACAGGCGACCTCTCAGTCCCTTCCCCCAGCCGTCAGGCACCGATCACCTGATAGCGAAAGGGGAACCAGGAGCAGGTGGTGGCTGAGGGCGGGGCCAGCTGTGGGCAGCCTGGAAAGATGGCCCTGATTGCAGGTCAGGCCTAGGGACCATACCCACGCATGAATTTCACG